AATATTCATCAAATAAACTAAACACTTAGTGTTAAAAAAAGTAAGACAATTCTATATACAAATATTTTTTGCTGAATCTTTTACTGAAAAGATATCCTGATTTCTGATTTGCCCCGAACCCTCCATTTCCCATTGGATTACATGGGAATGACGATTTTCAAAAATTCATCAAATTTATCATCAATTTTCGACCTATTGTAATTGAGGAAAAAAATTGAGAAAATTTGGAGGTATTGGAAATAAAGTCAAGTTACGTTTACATCAATATTATAAGTTATTTCATCGCCGGTTAAGTAAATAAAAATTCAAACGTAAAGAGGCTTTAACACATAGTTCAATGGGGAAAAAAGGTTGCCAAACTTATGGAGGGGAGTGTATCATGTGGCCATGAATAATCCAATGAGCATCCATAATACAAAGAGTAATTAAGGGCATATAATTTTAATATGCATGGGAATACACATACTGTATCATTTTATTTTTTTGATCTACTTGTAATAGTTCTAAAACTAAAACATGAAAGGCCAGGCATGCAAACCTGCATGGTATTGTGTTTTGACTTACAAAACATTATTTCATTCTAGATACAATAACATGCATATTGGCATACTTCGTTTTAATATAAGATTGTTATAACTCCACGTTTTGCAAGTCACATGACCAATTCTTAGACAGTTGATTGGTTGAAACAGTTGATATCAGATATGACAATTTGAAATTAGAAATAAGCTGTTTGTATGGAGATGGTACAATTTCACACTGAATTCTAGCTTAATGAGAGGGAATTGAGATGGGGCATGTATCTGAGATGAAAGCCTGTGTTTCAAATAGTAAAATTCCATGTCTATCTCAATTTTTTTGAAAATGGCAGTTAGTACAAAGTTATTCTCACGCGACGATTTGTTAAATAAAGTTATCAAATGTAATTGCCTACTCAAGTTGTATTTTTTGCAAGGACTTAGATGGATGGATATTCTGTCATATGACTTGCGGCACACTTACCATTTCCCAATGGTTAACATGGGAATGTCGATTTTCAAAAATTCCTCAAATTTATCATCAAGTTTCGACCTATTGTAATTGAGAAGAAAATTGAGAAAATTTGGAGGTATTGGAAATAAAGTCAAATTACGTTTCTATCAATAGTATATGAAGTATTTTCATCGCAAGTTAAGTAAATAAAAATTCAAAGGTAAAGAGGCTTAAACACGTAGTTCAATGGGGGAGCTAAGGTTGCCAAACTTATGGAGGGGAGTGTACATGTTCACGAACGTGTTCCCTCATAAACGTGTAGCTTGACCTCCTTGGAGGGGGGTCATTATTTTACACGCACACGTTCTCTAAGTCTCATAAACGTATAGCTTGACCTCCTTACTATCAGAGAGAATGTTCCCGACTATCAATCAAACGGCAAGTATTTCAGAAATGATTATAGCCCATTCACTCTCTCCAAGGTAATGTTCGATGTCAGAAATCATCTACTTAGCAATAAGTCAGTCCCTTCAACATGTGATGGGATAATATTGAATCAATATCAGTGATTTGAGAATGTTTTGACCACCCCCTATCTACTGTAGGCGCCAGTATGATGCTTTTGGGTTACCCTGCTGAGCACAGATCGGAGTTCTAAACTCACTGAAGACAAACCTTTTATCTCCTTTATTACGCGCCTTTAGAGACTGATTCAAACGAATACACAAAGTACATGGTTTGATAGTAACCCAATGATTTGATTTTGGTTCCTTAAAAGAGAGCTTCGTCTACATGAAAAAAAGTTATTTTATCCCATACTTGGACGTGTTTCAGGTCATAATTTAAAGCAGGTTTGTAATAACCTATATTTTCATCAGCGGGCAGATATAATAGCTTTACGTCCTGGCTGGAGCGGACAGATATATTATATCTGCCCGCTAAATGTACGTCATAATCACCGTTCGCATATTGGCTTATTTTATGTATCGTTCGATCTTTTGATGGTTTAGAAGAAGGAAAAGAGTACACTTACAGACTTATGCATGTTAATAATCAAAGTTTCGGGAAAATAAATCTGGATAAATATCTAAAAGAAAAGGAATTAAAAGTCAGCCACGGCCACGAAAACAAAACTGGACATGAATATTCTAAAATAATTCCTACGGTTGGCTGGACATTTTCTTAACTCGGACCCTTTTCCTAATAGCTTTGAAATCTCGTTAAAGTCTCGTTTTTAATGAGATTTTAGGAGATCTGCATTTTTAACACAGAATTACACACATTACACACAGAATTCTATTTGAATTCTGTGTGTAATTTTCTATCACAACAACTTTGATTTGCAACGTTATTTACCTTTATACAAATTCTAATGATTTTCTGGTTTTCTAAAAAGGTCGGGCTAAATCCTCATTGACACAATGCTGAAAAACCTTAAAAGTTAATTTACTCCTACAAGGATCACAACTTTAATGTGGAATCACAATCCACCTGTCAATAAGATCATATAGTTACATTCCAATTAAATGTTTTAAGTTGATCCAAATGAAATTACTTCTTAAATCAAGAAATAAATGACTCTGGCAATACATTTACATGTATTCTAGCCCTACCCTCACCCTAGCCCTACCAATACCCACGATGCCATCTATTTTCCATTTATATGGAAAAAGGTCAAGTGAACTATGTGGTATGGGATAAACAGATCATCCTATAGTCGGTTCAGGATATTAGGATTATCCCTTGGCCAATATAATATATCTTCCCTCGGGACCTACACTCCCCTCCATAAGTTTGGCAACCTTAGCTCCCCCATTGAACAACGTGTCAAAGTCTATTTACCTTTGAATTTTTATTTCCTTAAAATACTTATACTATTGATAGAAACATAATTTGACTTTATTTCCAATACCTCCAATTTTTCTCAATTTTTTCCTAAATTACAATAGGTCGAAACTTGATGATAAATTTGAAGAATTTTTGAAAATCGTCATTCCCAAGTTAATCAATGCGAAATGGTAAGTGTGCCGCAAGTCATATGACAGAATATCCATCCATCCAAGTCCTTGCAAAAAAATACAACTTGAGTAGGCAATTAAATTTGCTAACTTTATTTAACAAAAGATTGATACGTTTCTTCAGGTTCAACAAAGTTATTGGTCTTTAAAGTCAAAAATGTTTTTCAAAAAACCTCTCCCATTGAAATAACACAGGAGGTGAAAATTATTTTCAAAAATGACTTTGAAACTCTGTAACTTTTACTGAATAGATATCCTGATTTCTGATTTGCCCCGAACCCACCATTTCCCATTGGTTTACATGGGAATGACGATTTTCAAAAATTTATCAAATTTATCATCAATGTTCGACCTATTGTAAATGAGGAAAAAAATTGGGAAAATTCGGAGGTATTTGAAATAAAGTCAAGTTACGTATCCATAAATAGTATAAGTTATTTCATCGCAAGTTAAGTAAATAAAAATTCAAACGTAAAGAGTCTTTGACACGTTGTTCAATGGGGGAGCTCAGGTTGCCAAACTTATGGAGGGGAGTGTACATGTAAGTCCCTCGGGCAGATATATTATGTTGGCCTCCGGATAATCCCAATATCCCGAACCTCATATAGGATAATCTCTATATCCCCGGGGGTTTATATAGTGTATTCGATACGTGGAAGCCTTTATATGATATAATAATGGTACCCCGGGTAATGGTATCTCTACACCTTCGATATATGTACGTAGATTCTTGTATTGCTCAGGAATTGTAAAATGTTGTCATGACAACTTTATCTAGGGCTGTGTTTTTGTTACCAAGGTTTCAAGAATATTTGTGCTACACTTATATTGAGTAAGAAGATTGATAGCTATCCAATATGGAAATTATGAGAGTATTTCCTCCAAATCAAGGCAATCTTTTATTCTATTATTCTATTATAGTGACTAGTTATCTCACATACATACATGCATTAGTACGTATGATGCTTCCTTTTCTAGAATAAGGCAACTGATTAATCATATTGACCGTTCTCCTCAAGTAAAATGGTCGATTAAGTTTATGGTAATGACAAGATGATCCTATTTTCAGCAGTGATGATATATAATGCAGTTTAAAGTAACCCTTTATGATTTTCCTCTATAATTAGCTGATCGTTATTTTCTGTATATTGGGAATTGGAGAGAGTCTAAGTGATTCACTTGCAGCAATCTCTATTTTCATAAGTGAATTATGACGTAAGCGGGAAACAAGGATTTGGATGAATGGGAGGGGGAGTAATCATGTATATAATGCCATATATAAGGTAAATTCCCACTGTGGTCGAAAACCGGGTTCTATCAAAGTCTAATGATGAATAGACCATATGAAAATGTCTGTGTGCAGGGGTTATGCAATCGCTGGGGAATGATGCCACACATGCCCAGGTAGGCTTTGCACATGCGAAATGAACGTTTTCATAATGGAGGTAGATATCGTTTATTTCCCACTTTATAGCAAGGTTTTATTCTTCTAATTCGAGACTAACAGATAAGTCCAGGTATGTTAGTCCTAGCTTCGAATATAACTCACCCATCTATTTGTCAACTGGAAATTTGTAATGCCTGTTTTATGTTTGATTCTTTTTTGCTTTACTCAATCACAATAGGATTGAACATGTTGAATTTTTTGATATTGTATACCGCTCACATAAACATTAAAACATTGAAATTTAATTTTTTCTAGTTCGGGGAGATTCCCCATAGACCTCATAAACATAAACATAAACATGTTACAAAATCACAAAAAGTGCAACATATTTTCTTGTATTGGACAGATAACATTTTCTTTTGCTGGACATATTTTAATTTGCATAACTATTCAATACATACGGATTATATGAAAATTGAAAGAAGACAACAGATGTAATTCAATTTAAAATGAACTTTCTACTATACCCGCCATGCATGGTATCTGACCCGAACGAGCCACCTGGTGGTGAAACTGGTAACTACCTATTCGCATCTGCGTTATTGCACATCTGCTACACTTACCCCGTGTTGTTCCTAACGAGGTCAGCAATGTGAATGACTTGTCTAGTTTTACGAAACAAATCTATTCCTGCACCGGGCCAGGCCATGATTGAGAGACTCACAAGATCGGTACTATTAAACGGAGGCAGCTGAACGAGTGTATCTTTGTGCAATGGAGGTCCCAAATGTGACATCAACCCTCTGCATATAAAATCAAACTCTTTGGGCCAGTTGTCTTTTTTATCAGTATAAGCCCTTGGCCTTGATACAAAATCATATTTTTCATTCGCTCTCTTTCTGGCATTTGTTTTTGTCCCCTCCTTGAATATTCGATCAAGCTGTAGAACTGATTTAACAGAGCGTTCATCTACTATAAACAATGGAGTGGACTCCTCTGGATAGTCATTTGCTTCGGCTTCTTCTTTAAACTCAGAATACTTCATCATCAAGTTATTGCAATAGTCATTGAGCTGTCTTGTCGTTTCTTGTTGGATCAGTCTATCCTCATCTAAGATACTGAATTCCTGAAATCAGCCATACATGTGTGTTATTAAAAGTAGATTTTTAGAATTCTGGGAGATTATAGTTCTCACTTTACCTTGTCAGGGCCGTAGCCAGCAGGCATGAGGCGGGCGAGGCAGTCGCCAAATTTTGTCAGACAAAATCACATTGATAAATGGACGTAGCACGAGGCAATAAATTATTTAGGAAAGAAATCTTCTTTTTGTATGAAAACATGAAAAGAAATCTAATGCTATGGTGATTTTCCCTTGATTGATATTAAAATACAACCAATGACATCAAGCTGGCCATTTATGTTATCATTGCAAGCTAACATTTCTGGGAATGTCACACATAGGAAATTAATAAATGCTTATTTTGCCTATTAATATCATGTAAAAATTTGGCTATTAATGTCTAAATGGACACAGCCAAGGAAAAATTGCTTAAATAAAAAAAATTGCAAGGTATTCCTGATCACCGGAAAAGAAACATCGAAAATTCCCCACTTGGTTAAAACCTCGTGGCGACAATAAGAATAGTAGCTAAGGTATTGGAAACTCGTTTATCCTGTTGAATCGGAGAACACACGGGTATAAGAGAATAATGTATACATATACATCGCCTATTTTTAGCATCATGTATTAGCACGATACTTGTTGATTATTGGAAAATCATTATTCTTTGTTTTCTGGCATAATTGGTCGCGTTTCTGATTCCTACGGGGAATATTGTCGTCGGCTTTGTCTTATGTTTGTTTTCACCAATCCCACCACCGCCTCTTATCAAACTTGCTTTGACTATCTGCTGGGCTTAAAATGAATTATCAAGATCGGAACGACACGATGAAAAGTAAAAACTGTGTTTCAACTCTCTGACATTGACACTTTTTCAGAATATATCGTGGTGAATAAACGACAGTGAAGAAAATTTGTTTATGTGTGAAGGAGGAAGAAGATAGGAATTCCTTGTTAAAAAACAATATATTTGATACTTCCCAGCTATATGCACTGTACAATGATCTGAATCGAGGCATTTCGTTTGAAGAAATCTAATTTCTCATCAATTTACAAAATGGTTTATGAATTGACAAAAGGGTGTGAATTGATGAAAGTTATGAAATTATTAGATTAGCAGCAGTGTAATGTCTAACCAAGCATGTAATGGCATATTTTTTATTTCCAGGGTAGCTCTACCACTCGTTTGAATTACTCTCGTCGGTACCCAGGGTTTTCCAGTTCATGACTAATACTAAATGAAGTAAAAGATACCTTAAATTATGCCATCTCCAAAATCTTCTGGAGCGTTGACGTATCAGGTTGTGTTGTTTATTTCTTGTGACACGCTTGATTGCTTTGTAGCATGCTAGATTGTTTTGTTTCTTGTTTGTGACATGTCTGCTTATTTATTGTTTGTGACATGGTTATAGTTACTTGTCGGTGATATTAATGTTAGTTTTGTTGATATGTCTGTTTCATTTTTTGTTTGGTTTTACTATTTCTAATTTTTCCCTTCAAAACCACCGATCGGTATCACATCATTATTTTAATTGCCATTGATCTTGCCACATAAAATTGCATTTTTGAAATTATGTCACCTAGAATAACAAACAAAGTAAATGTCGCTTTCAGTATCAAATAATATGAGACAGAGACACTTCAGTCTCAAGATCATCGGGAGTGTTTATAATAGGACTCTCAGCTCGCCTCAAGTCTTCGCCGCGTCTAAGGTACTGTTTTTCATCTTATATCAGGTATCAAGTATGTAAAATAAACATTGCTAATAGATTTTCTATAGCCAGTAAAATGGTTGTTTTTCAAATATGCCCTCGAACCTGCCTATTCAACACATTTCGTTCTTTTTTAATATACTGCATTGTTCTCTTGGTTTTCTATGCAAATAAGCATAGTGCATGCAGTAGTAAATAAATGATAAATGGTTCGATTTCTTGCCAGATATCCAAGTCTTTCGATTCACCACTGTTTTCCGCTAAGTTCATGTATACAGTATTGTTCCTTGATACACGATTGTATGTTTCTTCATTGATTCAGACACGGTCTTGATGTTGTATCAGAGGTTTCACTATCATCAATCATTAGAATTTGATTAATAAATGTTTACATTCAGGTAGGAATCAATCAGTGAATTTTATGGAAACTGTAACTAATACTATTATTTATAGAAAGGATCTGCTAGATGTTAAGTTAGCTTGAGTGTGACCTTGGTCAAGGGCGAACGCAAAACTGGAACATGTTTTCATGTTTTCAAGCTCTCGGAGAACTCGGTTCGGGTATAAGAGCCCACACATTTGAATTTGTAGGAACGGTTAAATCGATTATCGTGTACACTGAATTGAAACATGGTAACAGTTAAAGAATGAATGTCCGACTTTAACGATAGAAGCTTTTTTACCAAAATATCCGGTCGGGATGATTGCGATATCTGACCATCGGAAATATGGTGTAAATTTCAGATAACTTACCCAAGGTAGCTCCTAATCGAAATCGATCGACGACAGGCCCTTTGAATTTAGAATAGAATCTTTGCGAAATATTATAAATAAGTAGAGAAAGACATATTGGTCCACTCTGAGTAGCTGCATCAATACAAAACTCTCACACCAAGCAGAAGTGTCATCGTTTCATTTCGACCAATGTTTACTTTGATTTCATCATTTAGCTAAATTCGAAATTGTTTCTCGATTGACTTTGCATTGTACTAATACATATTCACTCTAATGTGAGTAATTCTGACACCTTCTTTGTTTTGCAGGAAGAAAAAGGGAGCTGATCGAAGATCGTTAGCTCGCACGATTGGTATAGACAGAGCTGTGAACCTTTTGCAAATAAATGGATTAATGGGGTTTCCTTTTCTCAGTATGTACGACATTGACAACCGAAAATATATACAGGTGTGAAAGAAATTATGGTCCCCCGGGGATTATGGTCCCCTTTCTTAACGGCCCTTTCATAGGCCCTGATTGTGCATAACATAATAAGGGAAAGGGGTCACCATAAATTTGAAAGACCATTTTACACCGGTCCTATTAATTTATGGTCCTACTCTCCATTGATTTATATGGTGACCCCTTTCCCTTATTATCTTATACACAATTAGGGCCAGTAAGGGCCGTTGAGAAAGGGGACCATAATCCCCATTTTTATTCATCTATTTTCATTTAACAAGCTGTATTCCATACCTGAAGAGGTTTCAGGGACATATCAACCGGGAAATATTTTTCGTATGTCCCGCTCCAACGGAGCTCCGGGACATATTTTTCGTATGTCCCGCTCAAAAAAAATTTTTGAAAACATTTTTTAGAAAAAATTAAAAAATAAATTCGGGAAAAAAATTTGAAAATAAAAATTTGAAAAAAATTGTGGAAAAAATTCTGAAAAAAAATTATGCAAAAAAATGTGGAAAAAAATTTTGAAAAAAAATTTGAAAAAAGATTTTGGAATTTTTTTTTCATTTTTGAAAAAATTGAAAACAAATTTGGAAAAATTTGATTTTTTTGAAAATGATAACATAGTTTGCAAGTTAACACATCAGAGCATATGGGATACATGCTTATTATTTCAAACCTCGTCAGGTATGGAATACAACAGTTATGCACGGTCGGTTTGGATACAGGAAATATCACTTGGGATATACAATATATCTTCCCTTGGTCCCTTCGGTCCCTCGGGAAGATATATTGTATATCCCTCGGGATATTCCCTGTATCCAAAACCTCCCAGTGCATAACCCCTATATATGGGCGGTATCCAACATTTTCTATATGTTCACCGACAATATACTTTTTTCATTTTAACTTGTGAGGACAGGCATTTAGTTCTTTGATCGTGGCATACTCTAGTTGTAGCGCATACATATTAAAGAAACTATATATAAACGCATGCAGTTCGTACATTCCAAACATTGTGATTATTGGTTTCAATCACATATTTCTAATTTAAGTAACTCATACTCTTGATGATTTTATCATCGTTTTATTGCACCAAAATTGTTCGTCTCTTAAGGCCGAGTGCCCGGAAATATCAACATAATTGAACATGTTGAACAACTAATATACATACTTTGTGTGGCTTGGTTGAATGGCTATGAATCCCAATCAAGTTCCGATGTGTCTCATCAAGAAGACAATATAGTGAAAAGGATTGCGGAGTTTATAATTTTTGTGCAAATTTTCTTCTTGGATCGAAAAAATTCATTTTAATTCGATTAATTTACGATAGGTGGCCAAAGGTAGGTCACGTGACGCAAAACAACGAATCATATGACACGAAAACAATGATCCATTCGCCAGATGGCGTAGTGAAAGGAGGTCAATTTTAAGACAAACGAAAACCGTTTAGCTCAGCTTCAATTTTGCTCTCGCAGTCGAACGAAACTGAAACTTCTTTCGTCGATATCTAGGTTTAGTGATTTTTTCAGGCTCCGGTATTTTGACAAAAGTAAAGTTCAGGTCATAGCCATTCCTCGGGGCAGGTTTGAGGCACCAACGATTTATTTGGTAGTTTTTCTCAGGAATTATTCCCGATTTCCGTCTACTGCACCTTTAATTGAGTAATTTATACAATAAATTATTTATCAATTTGATTCTATTCGAATGTATAATCAAATTCATAAATTCAAAGGAAGTACTTTACTAAATTGGATGGTATTATTTCATTAGTACCATTATATTCATCCCATGTGCGAATTGACATGGGTAGTCATCTGGTAGTCATGCCTTGGAATCCAAAGTCGAGTGGAAAGGAATTTGGAACAGCGTGAAATCATTGAACCAGCCTACGTTATGTAATGGGGTTCGGTATATTGTGCGTCGGTATAATGGGTCTCGTAATGGGTGGACCCCATGTAGGTCACGCTCTTAGAAAATGAGATATTGTACTATGTGATAAAGGGGGATGGATTGACAAGGGGAACTTGAATCAATGGGTTTATCTCAATGCCAGTGTATTATTGACCTGGCAACATCAGCCTTCTCGATTTCAGGTTTATTTAATGAACACCCTATTCAAATTAATTAATGGTTGTCTT